GAGAGAAAGAGAGAGGAGAGGGGGGGGAGGGGGCGGGGGGTAGAGAGTTGGGCGATTATTGATGGCGATGCACGGGAGCAGAGAAGAAAGTCGGTTGACCGGGGAATCTTTGAAATATAGACGAGAGATTTTGCTTCGTTTCGTGAAGGGGATGAGAGTGGAATAGAGAAGAGCGCAGTGTGATAACGGTGCTGGTGGACCAGGGGCGCTAGAGCGTTGGGAGAATCAGCAGAGGGTATGTATGCTGCAGCTGGAGTTCATGGTTATGCTGCCGACGAAACTTGGGTATCTTGACTCACGGCATTCGACAGAAAATGGCGAAAGGATGGAGTTGAGGGGGAGAGAACACCCCCCCTCCCTCTCACCCCCCTCGCATACTCCCGGAGTCGCTATCCGATCAATTATTCAGGTGTAGCAGAGGGTAGGCGATTCCTGCGAAGGGTTTTCCTTCCCCTCCCGCGCTTAGGGTGGTTTAGAACGGAGCAGGTTGAGCCGGGAAGAGTGCATGGAAATATTTGATATGCAGACAGACGGGTGTAAATGTATATATATATATCTGTGGCTTGGTAGATAGATAGATATAGATAGATAAGATAGATAGATAGATAGATAGATAGATAGATAGAGAGAGAGAGAGAGAGAGAGAGAGAGAGAGAGAGAGAGAGAGATGCAACATGTAGCATGTCAGTGGTCAGTGGCGGGAAGCACAAGGGCAGACCCTAACCTCAAAAAATAAAGAAAAGGTAATGTCCTGTTTGAATACAAAAGTTTTTTCTTTTCCGAATCCGAATGAAAAAAGGTACGAGTTGTTCTCAAATACAACACACACGTGGTCTATTCGAAGTTCCCTTCTATTTGAGGAAAGTTGGCCCAAGCCTTTCAATTTCTGAAATTTTCAACTCAAGGCCTGCGGCCTCCTCGGCCTCCTACGGGCAGCCACCGGTCCTATGCAAGCAACATGCCCCTTCCCAATGAATTGTCCCCCCAGCAAATTCACCACCCTTCCAACTAGCCTCTGGACTTGAATGGACGACCTGTATGACTCAGGGGTATAAAACACATCCCTAAGGATGTCGGGCCGACCGCTATGACGGCCTCGACTGGGGCCTGCCCCTAAGCCTCTAGCTCCGCTTTGCTTTGATGATACTTTTTGGGAAAGGGTTAATTACCTGAGAATAAAATGGGGGGAACCGAGCAACATGAAATCTCCCCTTCACAGTGAGAGGAAACTATGCTTGCAGGGGTCCCCTCAAGACAGCCTTAGGAGTAGGTAGTGAAAGGCAAAAACAGAAGTTGAGAGAAGAATATAGAAAGAAAAAAAAAAGAGAATAGAAGGGGGGTAATCTCGGCGATGCGTGGGCATCACGAGTTGATTTTGCTTTCTTTCTCATTTCTTTCTCATTTTTCAACAAACAAAATCAAATCATGAGGCCACTGCCAGCCTATGAGCCGGATGTGGCGAGGGACCACTTGCAGGGATTAAGAGATATGGTCCGTCCATAACTGATATAGATAGACGGCTTGGATCTGCAGATCCGTGCAAATGGGACATTCTACATCTCTACACTGCACAACTTTGGCAATGCATCTGTTCTGCTTTTGTACCAGATGCATTTGAACTAGTTGGCTATCTGAATGTACCGAGACCATCATCCATCCAGATGCATTTAGAACGTTATATAGTGCAGCAAGACCCCTTGTCCAGGGTGCCAATCACACAATACTCCACTCGACGGTAGGAGAATGCCGTTCTCGCCACAGCTTCCGAGCCGAGCTTATCCCGGCACTACCGGTAGTGCTTTGGTGCTCTAGGGCCACAACCGTCCCTCCTGTGCCGATTGAGTATGGGCGTCGCTCCTCTACTCTCCACATGCACAGAAGACAAAAAATATGGGGGTGTAACTTGCCATGTTCTAGGGGAAGATTCCAAATCAATTTTCCACATTTAGTGAGCGATGGAGCGAGGCCCTGTGAGGCGTCGCTGGCCACGGTCATAGCCACGGAGTTTGGTACGGTGCGGCATGCTCGATCGTCAATCGACAAAACACACACCAACCCCCATCGGCAGTCCATTGCATGGGCCTACCTACCCAGAACAGAGCGACCGCGTGTCGATGCAGAAAGCTGTGTCAGTCGGCTGAAAAAACGAAAAAAACACACACACTGTAAACTGTGGACAACATGGGACATTGGACATTGGATTATTATTTTCAAACATATGATTGCGATTAAAAAATAAAAATAAATAAATACAATAAAAATAAATGAACTGCGAACAAAGCGACCGCGTGTCGAGGGCACCGTAGAACGAGAGCTAAGAAAAGAAAGGGGAGGGGCTCCACCTCACAGAGAAGGATTGGAGACCTAGCGGCCCTTGAATCTGGAACCCTTTTTCCACAGTATATGTATGATCGCCTTGGGCACTGGGCCCTAATAAATGGAAAGATACAATTTGCAGGAAAAAAAAAAAGAAAAAAAGAAAAAAGAAAAAGAAAAGAAAGACGGAAAAATGAAGAAGAGTACCGAAAAAAAGACAAAAACATGG